GAGGCCCAGCATCTAGGACCTGCCCTGAGGGACCCCAGGCACAGACACAGGCAGCCCCTTAGTGACTCCTGGAACCCCAGGTGCCATCAGCCAGGAACACGGGTTCTGGTTCTGATGTGCACACACGGGGCCTGGGCGGCCCCTGCAGGGACCTCAGGCTCCTGCGCTCACCTCTGCAGGAACCTTCTCTCCCGGGCTCACACCTGCCCTCAGCCCTCCCCTCTGAGCTCTGCTGTGGCCAGGCCAGCAGACCTGAGGCCAGGAACCATCCTAGTGCAGGTGTCCAGCCCACAGGATGGCTCCAGAATAACCCAGAATCCCCTGGGAGAGGGCAGGGCTGCAGGTGCTGAGTCCCTGGGCTGAGCCCTTCTCAGAGCCCACAAGCTCCCAGCAGCCCCTGGGCCTGGCTGATTTGCATGCCCCCCAGCTGCCTCCAAGGGGATAAGAGAGGCCTGGGAGGGAGCCTGCAGCCTGGGCCTCAGGGAGCAGAGTCAGGGCGCCCACCATGGCCTGGACCCCTCTCCTCCTCAGCCTCCTGGCTCTCTGCACAGGTGCTGCCCGGCTCACCCTCCCAGCCCCGGGCCTGGGGCAGCCTGGCTGACTCTGAGCTCAGGGCGCTGCCTGGGGGAGGAGGCTCTGAGGGTGATGAGGGCTCCGCTGCAGCAGGAAGGGGGGGCTCTTTGCTCAGAAGCTCCATCCCGGGAGCCCCAGGCCACCTGGGCTGAGGGAGAGGGGGGGCGCCCTAGGCCTGGGAATCCCTGGGGCTCAGGCAGGCGGGGCGGCAGGGGGTGCTGGGAACGGGCCCTCACCTTGCTGCCTCCTCCTCCTCCTGCAGCCTCTGTGGCCTCCTACGAGCTGACACAGCCGCCCTCGGTGTCCGTGAACCCCGGACAGACGGCCAGGCTCACGTGTGGGGGAGACAACATTGGAAATAAGTACTCATACTGGTACCAGCAGAAGCCCGGCCAGGCCCCCGTGCTGGTCATCTATGGTGATAGCAAACGGCCCTCAGGGATCCCTGACCGGTTCTCAGGCACCAACTCGGGGAACACGGCCACCCTGACCATCAGCGGGGCCCAGGCCCAGGACGAGGCCAACTATTACTGTCAGGTGTGGGATAGTGGTAATGCTCACAGTGACACAGGCGGGTGGGGAAGTGGGACAGAAACCTGCCCGCCGGGCCTGGTGCCCACGCTCACCCGCTGTCTGAGCAGCTGGAGGTCAGGCCTCAGGGTCAGGCGTCCCCCTGGGCCTGGCCCGGCCCCTGCAGCGCTGGGGGCCTCAGCGGGTCCCTGTCCTCCCAGGGCCTCTGCTCCTGCTGATGGAAATGGTGCGTTAGGTGCTCTGAGCTCCGGGCTATTGGCAGCCAGATAGACACAAGGGCTTCACCAACTCCTCCCACACCCACAGGCATCAGTGTCCTGTGAGCAAAGACAGAGCCCCCTGCCAAAGCCCCTTCTTCTCGGCACCCCCACATTTCTCTGGCTGTGGGGACCCCCAGAGACCCTGAATCCCGCACCCTGCTGCCCAGTTTACTTCCTGTCCTGCGGTGTCACATGATGAGGGAGGAAGTGCAGACACCACTGCGGTCCCACCCAGGGATGCCTCCCAGCAGGGAAACTGCAAACCAATGGGCCCTCCCTGCTATCACCATGGAACCAGACCCGCCCTGGGCCCGCGCTGCTGTCCCCACAGGAGCCGGTTCCGCGGAGACCGGGAGGCATCAGAGGAGCGTTCGTTCCCATCCCGCCGGCAGCCGGGGAGAGCAGCGGGGCACCCACACAAATCTGCTCTGCACCCCATCAGCCCGCGGCTGTATTGGCAGAAAGACAAGGATTACAGGGGACGTAGGCAAAGAAAGGGTGTGCAAATCGGCAGTTCACAGGTACAGCTGGCTGGAGATTTGCAAAGGCCTATGAGTGTGCAAAGGCCTGTGGGTAAGCAAAGGATTGGGTGTGCAAAGGATTGTGGGTAAGCAAAGGGCTGTGAGTGTGCAAAGGATTGTGGGTAAGCAAAGGGCTGTGAGTGTGCAAAGGATTGTGGGTAAGCAAAGGCCTGTGGGTAAACAGAGGCCTGTGGATAAGCAAAGGCCTGTGGGTAAGAAAGGCCTGTGGATAAGCAGAGGCTGTGGGTGAGCAGGGGCTGTGGGTGAGCAGAGGCTGTGGGTGAGCAGAGGGCTGGCCATCTCCCCATGACCACAGGCGGCTCCTGGCGGGAAGACGGGCCGCGTTCCCGGGGGAGCTCCCCTCCCAGCCCGCTGAGAGGCGCCCTCTGTACCCAGAACAGAGCCGTCCCGGATGACAGAGCAGGATTCCTGTGTCTTGGAATTCCAGCGGGTCCCCAGCAATCTGTGTCTGCCCTGCCACTAACATTGTGCCATTTGGTCACCTATCGAACCCAAGACCACCCGGGTCCTGTCCCCGGGGGCTGAGCACCACGTACCTGGCAGCCCCTCCTTCTGGGCCCAGCGCTCTCCCCACCTCTGAGGTCCGGCCAGGTCAGCCAGGAGGGCACAGGGAGGAATGTGATGGGTCACCACAGGGGCCTCGGGAGGGGTCAGGACAGGCGCAGCCAGCAGCTCCGGTCCCCGCAGGGCTGTGTGGGGGGCAGGAGGCTGAGGAGACAGCCACCGCCTGCCTCCCCGAGTGTCCTCAGCCCCCGGTGGCAGGGAGGGCCGGGTTTGTCTGAGCCCCAGCCTCTCACGGGTCCCTGCCCAGCAGCGCCTCCCGGGGACCCTCAAGCAGTGTCTGTGCCCAGCTGCTCCCACACCTCCTGACCGGCCACTTGGGGACCCACCTCATCACACAGCGACCCCCACGCCATCCCACGCCCCACACCTCAGACAGGAGCAGGCCTGCAGCCAGAGCGCCCCTGGCCTCGGCTCACGTGTGTCCTGGGTCACGCCTGATTCTCCGCAGGGCAAGGCCTGACCCGGCTCCTCCCCACCCCTCCCTGCTCCCTCTCCTGCCCTGAGGCTGCTGGCTTTGCTCCCCTTGTTTTCACCCTTTAGGGGGGACCTGAGCCCTCCCTTCTGGTGGAGGAGGTCAGGAGTCACATAGAGGGGCCAGTCCCCCTCCCCTGAGAGGGGCCAACAGCCCCAGGACCAGGGAGCCTCCCCTGAGCAGTGGGGTGTGCATCTCCCCCTGGGCAGAGGTCACCCTGCACCTTAACAACTAAGGCAGAGCCACCACTAGGGGGCGCCAGAGAGTCTCCTGGCAAAGCCACCTGCAGATGAGGTGGGCCTGGCCTCAGGGGTCCTCACTGGGCCAGGGCGGGAGGGTGAGTGACCTGAACCTAAAACCTAAAGGGAAAGGACAGGCCAGGACACGGACGCACCAATTCTGCTGGCCCACGGCGGGAAGCCCCGGGCCTCCTGTGTCCAGGGCCTGAATCCCCGCAGGAGCTCTGGAGCTGGTCTGACCCCGTTGGGTAATGAGGTCACCTCCGTCCCGAATATATCCCCCAGCGGGACAGGCTGTTGGGGAGACGCACTCCCTGAGATGCATGGCAGCGGGCCCTCATCCCCGACTCCGAAGAGAGTCCCTTTCCCTCCCACCTGTCCCCGCCCCGCCTGCAAAATGGGGAGACTGAGGCAGCACACCTGTGATCCGCCTGGGGACTCACCGCCCAGGACGGGCAATGGCCCCACCAGGAGGGCTTTTAAGAGCACCACGGGGCCATGGCTGGCCATGGAGCCGGGACCTGTCAGCCAGGAGGCCACGGTCCCACTCCTGTCAGTGCACCTGGACCAGTGAGGGCTAGATCCCCAGGAGTGGAGTGCAGGAGGCAGCCGGCCTGTTTCTCTCTCCTCATTGATGTTTATCACTCTGTGCCTCTCCCTTCCTCTCTCTGAAATCAATAAAGAAACAGATTTGAAAAAAAAAAAAAAAAAAAAGACAGACAACTCTGTGTGTTGCTGACAAGGGGTCAATGTTACTCGGTCTCTGAGGCCCAGGCGCTGGGATGAAGCAGGACCTCGGCCCTCAGCGTGTGATGTCACCTGCAGGGTCCTTTCAGCCAATGCAGGCCCCTCTCCCTCCACTCGGAGCCCAGCTGTGGCCGATGTCACCCCAGACAAAGGGACCCCCAGGCTGGGAACTACAGGGGCTGCCCTCCCCCCCCCCCCCCTGTCCCTGGGCTGAGCTTTTCTCAGAGCCCACAAGCTCCCAGCAGCCCCTGGGCCTGGCTGATTTGCATGCCCCCCAGCTGCCTCCAAGGGATAAGAGAGGCCTGGGAGGGAGCCTGCAGCCTGGGCCTCAGGGAGCAGAGTCAGGGCGCCCACCATGGCCTGGACCCCTCTCCTCCTCGGCCTCCTGGCTCTCTGCACAGGTGCTGCCCAGGCTCACCCTCCCAGCCCCGGGCCTGGGGCAGCCTGGCTGACTCTGAGCTCAGGGCGCTGCCTGGGGGAGGAGGCTGCGAGGGTGCTGAGGGCTCCGCTGCAGCAGGACCGGGGGGCTCCTTGCTCAGAGGCTCCATCCCAGGAGCCCCAGGCCACCTGGGCTGAGGGGGAGGGGGGGCGCCCTGGGCCTGGGAATCCCTGGGGCTCAGGCAGGCGGGGCGGCAGGGGGTGCTGGGAACGGGCCCTCACCTTGCTGCCTCCTCCTCCTCCTGCAGCCTCTGTGGCCTCCTACGAGCTGACGCAGCCGCCCTCGGTGTACGTGAACCCCGGACAGACGGCCAGGCTCACGTGTGGGGGAGACAACATTGGAAATAAGTACTCATACTGGTACCAGCAGAAGCCCGGCCAGGCCCCCGTGCTGGTCATCTATAAAGATAGCAAACGGCCCTCAGGGATCCCTGACCGGTTCTCAGGCACCAACTCGGGGAACACGGCCACCCTGACCATCAGCGGGGCCCAGGCCCAGGACGAGGCCAACTATTACTGTCAGGTGTGGGACGGCAGTGCTGATGCTCACAGTGACACAGGCGGGTGGGGAAGTGGGACAGAAACCTGCCCGCCGGGCCTGGTGCTCTCGCTCACCCGCTGTCTGAGCAGCTGAAGGTCAGGCCTCAGGGTCAGGAGTCCCCTGGGACCCTCCTGAAGGCTGGAGCCTGAGCAGCTTCTCTGTGCCCTCGGGGCCTCTGTACCCCGCTGAGAAGCATCAGGTCGGGTCGGGTCTGAGTTTGGAGACTGTTGTCAGCACCAGTGGCTCCAGAAGTGCCCCCACCCCCTCGCTGAGCCCCGGGATAGTCCGAGCACCTCTCCTGGTTCTGCCCCTTCCCTCTCTCCTCTGGGAAGTGGCGGGAAGCTCCGGAAAGAAGTGTCCACTCGAAAACCCCCCTCACGGACAGAGTAACATTTAATGCGACATTTTTTGAAATCGAAATTAATACAAAAATCATTCCATGAGTCCTGGCTGGTTTGGCTTCGTGGATAGAGCGTTAGCCTGCGGACCGAATGGTCCTGCATTTGATTTCTGGTCAGGGCACATGCCCTGGTTGCAGGCTTGATCCCCAGTAGGGGGCGTGCAAGAAGCAGCCAATGGATGATTCTCTCATCATTGATGCTTCTCTCTCTCTCCCTCTCTCTCTCTCTCTCTCTCTCTCTCTCTCTCTCTCTACTGCTCTTCCCCTCTCCCTTCCTCTCCAAAATCAATAAAAATATTTTTTTTTAAAAAATAGATATTTGCGCCCTAACCGAGTTGGCCCAATGGATAGAACGTCGGCCTGCGGACCTAAGGGTCCCAGGCTCGATTTTGCTCAAGAGCACACGCCCAGCTTGCAGGAGGCAGCCATTCTCTCTCATCATTGATGTCTCTCTCCCTCTCCCTTTCTCTCTGAAATCAGTAAGATATATTTAAAAATATATATTCCATGATGAATAAACACCCAAACTGTGAAGGAAAATCAGGATCCCTTCCTAAACAGGCACAACTCACCTCACTTGCCTCCCACAACACCTGTTCCCAATTCCAGGGGTGAGGTGGGAGCTGGGGTCCTCCATCTCCTGTCCCCCCCCCCCCCCCAAGCCCCACTCCAGGGGCTCCGCCCTCCCCCACTCCTGCCTGCCTTCCCCTTGGAGCCTGGGGCCTGGCCTCCCTCTACTGCTGGTCTCTGCTGCCCCCTACTGGAATCTCTCCTTCCGGGCTGCCCTTCCAGCAGCTACACCTGGAGGCGTTAGAGGTTCAAGCTCTGACATTTCCCAAAGCCCCCAGTTCCAGGCTGGCTCCACCCAGGTCTCGCTGGTCCCAGGACATGGTCTGCACACCAGATTGCTGTGTGTCTTAGGGAGGAAATGCTCCCTCTCTGTGCCTGTTTCTCATCAGCAGAAGCTGGAGGCCCCTCACCAGGTTGGGGAGTCCCTGTTTCCTAGGGAACCAGCGGTATTCTCCCCCCGTTTGCTGGGGGGGGGCTGCACTCCCAGGGTCTCCCAAGGAGCCAGAATCTTCTCTGTCTCCTCCCGGGGGCCCCTCAGGGACTCAGAGATTTCAGAGCCGTCGTCATACCCCTAGATGGACCCTGTGGCACCCTCTCCCCGACCCCCACGGGAAAAACAGCGGCATCCTCAAGGTGTGATGAGAGGGACCCGTGGCTTGGGTTTGGGAATGCAGGGGAGCGGAGAGCTGGGGAGACCTGGGCCAGGGAGAGGAGCCCACAGCCTCAGGCAGGGCCTCTGGGGCCTGTGGGGTGGAGGATGGGCAGGAGACTAGGGAGGGGACGGGGAGCAGGCCTGGGTGGGCCAGAGCCGCAGCTGTACCCGCTGGGAAGGCCCAGACCATCCCTCAAGGGTCCCCGGGGTCCAGCCAGACCCCAATTTCCGACCACAGCCACCACAGGAGGATGTGGTCTGTGGTGGTGTCTCCCCAGGGGTCGCGGCAGGTGCAGGGGTGGGGGAGGGCGGCAGCTGGGGATGTAGCAGGAAGAAGGACGTCCCTTCTTCTCCCCAAGCCCTGGGCTTTTCCCAGAGCAACCACAGGTTCTGGGCCCTGGGCTTTGAGTGATGGGAAGGGAACAATTCCAGTGGATACCAGGAGCCCAAGGTCAGAGGCAGGAGTGAGCCAAGCACCAAAATGGGGAGGAGCTGCACTGGATGGGGGGTGGGGAGCAGGCACCCACTCCCTGTCACTGTTCAGTGCCTTGACCATCTCCAAGGCGGGGACAGGAGATGGGTAGTGCCATCCAGCCCTCAGCACTGGACTTCACCCCCCAGGCGCTGCCTGAGCCGTGTGCGGGGAGTGGGAAGATCCAGTCTGGGGTTCCTTGAAAGCTGCTTTGATGAGTTTGGTCAAACCGTTAAGTCCTGATCGCCATCAACTCGACTTCTTTCTTCCTGCTCGTTATTGCCCTTGTCAAGAGCAGTAGAGGGTCTGAGAATTTTGGAGTCTTCTTGCAAGCTGAAAAGCAAGCCTGCCGTAGGTTCCCGGATGCTGGCGGGAGACACAAGACTCCTGGGTCAGAGACGAAGGCCACTTTGTTGCTCATAGTTCATTACTTACATACCCAGAGTATCAGCATCATCAAGAATATTAGTCAGAATAGCAGCATCCTACACCAGTTCTCTGAGCCCCCTTAGGATGATGTAAAGAGGGCCAGGTGACAGCTGCACATGCAAGCTTGGGGACCCCAAATCTTTCATACCAGCCGGTAAGCACATGTTGCTCCGGAGGCAGACACCCTCTCTACAAGCATCCTTGAAAAGACGGTCCAACACAAGGACAATCGGTGCCTTTGCTCACGAGACGCGCAGATCCAAAAAGACCCTCAGACAGTGGTCTCCCAGCAACCATTGTCCATACCAACAAGCTGATTATGTGTTACCCCTTTCCATGGAAACACCTGGGTTGATTTCCACCAGGGGCAGCAGGAGAGTGCGTGAGTATCTGACTCAAAACATGGACCAGGCAACTCGGAAAGGGACCTCCCAGGAAAGTCAAGGTTGGAGGAGGCTGGGGCACCCTTTGGAGTCGCTGAAGCAGAAAACCGTGAGCCCTAGGGGCTGCAGCTCGGAGTTGAGCGGATGTGGCCCCAAAGGCAACTGAGAAGCAAGAGGGTGGGTCTGGGTGTGACAGGCAGGGACCTACCAGCCGAGTTCTGCCAGACACCAGCAGCATGAGCCCACGGAGACCCACAAAGCACGCCTGGAGCTGGGCGAGGGCCCGGCCTCGTGGCTGGGGGCACCCAGGAGTACGGAATCTGCTTGAACAGCCATGTCCTCATCTTCAAAAGGAGAGATCGCCAAGGCTCAGCAGGGAGCAGACCCTGTTGTCGGGACCACATACCAGCGCCACTCTCATCGGCACGTTATGGGATACGTTCCTGAGCTCCCAAACTAGCCCCGACCCCAAGCACCTGGGCGGCCCAGCCCGCCTGCACCCTGCCCAGCACAGCCCACACCTTGGCACCCGTGGGTGCAGGGCACAAACAAGCCTTCCAGGGGGCGGAGGGCTGGACGTGCAGGGCCAAGCTCACCCCTAGATCACAACTCCCCCTAAACCCTGCACCCGGAAACCGCCTCGGGTCCCGCATTCACCTTCTCGGGCCTTTGTTTTCTCACCTGTAGGATGGGGACACTCAGTTCACCAAGAACTGCTCTGAGCCCAAAGTGAGAGAGGAGGACAGGGAGCTGGCCTCGGTCCAACACCTGCTCTGTGCGGGTGCTCAGCAGCTGCGTGATCCCGTTCATCCTCGGGCCCTCCTGCGGCAGAGGCGCCCTCCCCATTTCACAGACCAGGAAACTGAGGCCCGGGGATGACCTGGGTCTGGGTGGTTCCAACATTCCTGAGCTTGACGTTACTCCTGGAGTGAGGGGGATGGGTGGCTGCCTGCAGGACCCTTGCCTCGCCCAAGAGCTGAGCACACTCACCAGGCTTGACCAAACCAGCCAAGGCAGGGCCGGACTTGACTGGCGGGCGTGGAGTGTGCAGGGGCCCAGCCTGGGGGCCTGGTCCGAAGAGCAAGCCCAGGCCCGCCCCCAAGGAGTCCAATTCCTCATCTGCTGGGCGCTTGGCTGCCCTCCAGGCCTGAGGTAGATGCTCCATAGCCCACAGCTGGCCTTGGGGAAGCGGGGAAAGAGGGCAGGCACAGGTGTGCCCCGCCCAGCCCCCAGGGGCGGGGCCAGCAGGGTTACTGTGGGAGATGGTTGAGCAGTGATTCCAACCACAGCAGAGCAGTTGGCAGATGCCACTCTAAGGAGGGTGCCCCGGAGAGGACCCACACGAGGGCAGGCCCCGGAGAAGACCAGGCAGAAGATGGGGCCATTCAGGCCAGGGCACTCGGGGATGGCCGCTATCAGCGAGAACCACCTGCCAACAGCACCCATTTCACCAATATGGAAACGGAGGCCCAGAGGTGACCGAGGTGTGGATGGTTCCAACATTCCTGAGCTTGACATCACTCCTGGACTGAGGGGTATCGGTCACGCCCTGCAGGAGCTCACGCTGAAGATCAGGCTGGAGGTGGAGGAGGTCCTGGACCAGCCATGTGGGCCATGAGGATCCGGGGAGCAGAGCCCAGGCCCCGAGCAGCCCTGGCCCCCGATGCCGCTGGGCCTGGCCGTGGCCGCCCATGGCTGCTGCCCCTGCCGGCAGCACCTCGGAACAGGGCCCAGGCCCCCAAGACCGGCGGGAAGCGCCCCCAGAGCCTGAAGGACAGGTAAGGAGCCCATGAGGCTTGGGGGACGATGTGGATGATGTGAGGGGTCGGTGGAGAGTGGGGGCCTGGGCAGACACTGGCTTTATTTAAAGAGTTGGCATTTTGTCCATCGTGGATTTATGAGCATTGGTTTTTATGTTCAGTGTTTTATTAAAATGTATTTATCTCTCTCGATGACTGAGGCTTTGGGCACCCCTTAAATTTGTACCTAAGACTAGAGGCTCACTCTCCTCGCCCAGTTCTCTGGGAGGCAGGGACAGGATGTACCCATCCTTTTAGGGGCAGGCCCCCCCGCTCAGGGTCCCCATAATGCCCTGATGTCATCCCCATCTTCCGGACAGGGATAGAGGCCAGAGAGGGGGCCACAGCTCGGGACAGGAACGAGTCTCAGGACTGGATGCTGTGACCT